AACAATTCAGCATCAATCTTCAAAGTGCGGCCAGTGCAGTTGTTTTTCCCACGAACGTCTAAGAGTCGAAGCTCTAAGTTCACTTTGCCAAATGTGCACTCACACATGGCACACATGCCAAGACCTCCAAACGGTCTTAAGCTAATCCCTCAATAAAAGCCTGGAATCACATTTGGATTCCCTGTTGGCCACCCAAAATAGCTGCTCTCTCGTGAGAAACGTTCCAAGCAGCATGTGCGTTCTGTAAAAGTACCTTCTTCTCAGCTGAATCCTTGTGGGTCTCCATAAATTTGCGAACCTTGAAGGGGTGCTGACAAACATATGTTTTCCAAACCTGTTTGTGTCTATTTTTGTTTCACTTCAGTTGAATGCAAACCAAAAAACAAAGTCCCAACGAGCGTTGTGCATCACACTCTTCGCTTTGGGTGCTGCTGCGGGTGCTGCGGGCGCTGCGGGAGCTTCCCACGTTTCCGGACCCTGATCAGATCCACGAGGTACCTTGAACATATTTCATATCTTCCCATGGACAGAACAGGAATAAATATATATAAAATAACATAAAATCATAAAATGGCAAAACATAAAAACATCAAATGATGCACCAAGATACTCCCTTGGACACAAATTTTTTGTGCCACTCCCGAGAGTTCACTCGTCGAATTTCCCTCCTCTCATCCTCAATCTTTTGTTTGGTTGCTGGCGACATGTCTGGTGTAATACGCATTGCCTTGCGCTTCACACCACCATTGTCAACATTAGCATTGTCCTGAGTTTGTGGGTGAGACAGATTATTCCAAACAATGCTTAATAGAACTTGCAAACATCTTGGATCAATTCCTAAAGCCAGGACCTTTACAAACAATAACGAAACAACACTTGAAACAACAAGTATAGCATCATCATTCATAGCCACAGGAGGCACAGGACGGCGTGGAGCCCGTTTGGCCAAAGGAATGGATGCCTCCCCAGGAAATGGCAAACAGTTGGTACTAGTTACTAGAATATAGAAAACAAAACACATTTTTCACACTGCCCCACCACTTCAGCAGCGATGGTATTCTTCTCAGGATCACTGTGTTCCAACTCGTTCAAGGAATCGTTCACTCCCATATCACCTTGGCTTTGATGATCCCTCGTCTCCAGAATGCCATCACTCTGATCATGTTCCTTGTCCATGAAAGAGTCCTTGAGACAATATTTTGGTGTTTCGATAACACCTCAATTGTTTCTACAACTTATCACCATTTACAAAGACAATGGACTTCAACATTTTGGTACAACCCAGCCTCCAACCTTGGATCTGACTTCAAAGTGGCCGCAGTTCCCATGCTTGGTGACGCAGTCGACCCGTCGGACAATGTGTTTCCGCTCGGTTTCTTTGCCATTGGTTCCTCAACTGCCTTGTCCTCGAAACTGTCATAAGACCCTGGCCCGAAGATGTCAGGCTGTGAGTCTGGCTCAAAGGTGCCAGAGAGAGCCCTGAAGAAATGTTCATCCTCTGGAGTCCAGCCTTTTTCAAAGTACTCATATGGTTGCCGTGCAGCCGATTCTCCATCATCAGAGCACTCCATAGGGAACAATCGCCTTCTGGTTGTCAAAGGTCGAGCCACTTCTTCCACTGGCACAGCCTCAAATGGAAAAACACTATTTTGAAAATTGTTTTAAAGAATTCTCCCTAGAATTTTGACAAAAATCAGTAAAAACGTGTTCAGTCATGGTTGGTGGCAGGAACAGGCTGAGCACGCAGCATGCACTTCTCCACCGAAGAGCTTGCCCTGAACATAGGTGCTGCTACAACATCCTTGCCCATGATCAATGAACTCATCGTTGCAGACCTGACAAATGATTCTTCCTTTGGTGCTGATGCCATACTTTCACTGGAAGGGCATGCTGCCACTGCAACATCTGGACCACATCCCAAGTGCTTCTGCATTAGCGAAGCATCAGCCACCTCACGGCCTACAATCTCATCCGACATGGCTTGAAATTTTCTAGTAAGGAAGTACTGAGCTTTGGGCAAGAAAGGAACTAGTAGAAACAATAGTGTGAAGCGTTGTAAGAACACATCTCCAAACACAATATTGTGAACACATCAGGAGTCATCTTGGGAAACGGATGCAACAGCGTGTCTTTTCCCCAATTCCAGAGCATTGTTGGAAAAGTTCATCTTGTAGTGCTACATCAGACGATCTGGTAGCGCACGTCCTTCTCAAGTGTGAATCCAGTGCCCTTCAAATACCAGAGCGGCTTAGCTGGTCCAAGAACCTTCTCACGAGAATAGTGGCGGACTCCTCAATTGTTCCAGTCATGAAGATGTCAACATACTCAATGGAGAGAGTGACAACCATTATAAACAAAAAACAAACAAACCATGCTAAGTGGCTCCATACAAGCACTAGTTGCCTCGAGGCAAGCAAACTCTTGAATCCGAGGACGCCAGCCATGTTCGTTTGCTTCATTGTCTTCAGTGCCACATTGGTTGGCTTGAAGACACTGTAGGACTCATGTGTCACCTCAATGCGATCCATGGATTCTCCTCTCTTCACGTCGCTTGGCCGATCCACTCGGTGGCCCGTCACCTTCAAATCAAGCACCCCCCTCTTTTCCAATGATACCAAAAGGTCAAACAATGTGGTTGGACTGGAGTCCACATTGCCCGAAGAAGTCTGTTCTTCCATCACTACCTTGAATCGAAGGCTTGGCTCACAACAAAGAGTGAGACTAACAACCAAAACGGAGACAAGGTCACAAAGAGTATATATAATATAGTTTTCAAAACAAAAATGATATTACTCTATCTTGAGAACTGGAGCATCCCCAGACTCAAGTCGAAATTCAATCGCCTTGTTCTCATTCTTCTCGAGGTAGTCCTTCGCCTGTCATTGTATGAGATCATGCCATGTCAGTATTGAATGGTTGTATAATGTTGTATATATAATTTTGGCTGGTTGGACGGTTGGTTCAAACTATTCATGAGCCTTGGAGCTCTCTCCAATCCATTGTCCCCCCAGCGTAGAGAAACAAAGGAGTTGGACTGGATGAAGCCACACCAGGTGCACGAGTCTTTGTAGCACTGCTGAGAAACACTTTGCCATCGACATATTGGCACAAGATGTTTTGCCCTGAGACTGACAAAGTGATGGTTGCCCCAATGTCTGGGTACTTCTTTTCAAACTCCTCTTTGGTGAGCGAAGGTGGTGGGTCACACTCCACATGGAGGCTGCTCTTGGCGGCTGTGGTGGCTGTAGCTCCCTCCTTTGCAAGGTCTACCTCTGCATCTGCTTGTGTTGGTACTCTTTCACTCTCGGTGGAACTGGATGGGCGAAACACTTCATCAAAGTTCTTGAGGCGCACTCGCCAATCCGGGTCTTGGTGTGGTATGTGGATGGTTGAGGAACATAGTGACATAGTATGGTTTACCAGCAAAAAGAAAAATACACCACCTGAACCACAACTTACAAAATTACATAACATGGAAGACAAAGTCGCTTCTCACAGGGTCTGAAAGCCACTTTTCTCGTTCCGCCTTTGGGATGCTGAGTTGACCGTTTGAATCCATAGTGCAAAGGCGAAGACTTGGAACTTGGGGCAAAGTGAGGTCTGCAGTGCATGCTTCAGCAACAAACTTCGGCTGCATCTGTCCAATCAAACCGGTTCCACGCTTCCACTCCTGTGTAAAAATTACATGGGAGCCAAAAAAAAACTGTTTAACAGGTGTTCGACAAACTCGGACCTCCAGCAACTTGTCTTTCACCGTCGTGACCGCAAACTCAAAGACTGTCGGATTGGTGCATTCGCTGTAGAAGGCCATATAGGCCAAGTCACTCAAATCCAGCATCAAGTCGAGGACCACCTTCTGTGCAAGTGGATTGCAGATCAAACCATGTTGTTGTTTTGGTCCCACCCCCACCTTTTCGAGCACCCCGTCATAGCAAGCGAAGTTATGCACAATGCACGTTTGGTACTTCATAGTGCTTATTTTTGTGAGGCAGGCTTCAATCACATTCTTGAAGGTTCCAGGTGCTGCGACCCATTGTGCTGTCTCTTCCTTGTCCTGGGAAAGAACAGAATACCCAACAAGATAATAAAAGGTTTTAACGTTTTTTAGGGAAGAGATCAAGAAAGATCCAGAAACACTGACAGTTAATACATTCAAATCAAGTTTCAGTAGGGCTTCTTCCATGCTCATGTGTGAATAAAGTTCCGCTTTCTGGCGTGACATACTCACCTAAGTGAGGGACACCTGTTCCAACATCCAAAATATATGGTCACACTATCAACAAAAAGATTCAAGGGACACAATGTAATACAGTATTTTATGAATGAAGATGAGTTGCTGGGCTGCAGTGGGAAGGAGGGTTTGCAAATGAGGGTGCTCCAGAAGTCATTCTTGCAAAAGCTGTTGCTGTCTGCCAATGGTCTTTCGCTACCTCTGGGAGCTTTGAACAGCGTTTGCTTTGCTCCCAACGTGGTGTCCAAAAGGATCATCCATCCCGGTAGGCATGCTGGAAAGGACCTGGAGTCCAGACAAATATAACAGATATATCTATATTAAATCTGTATATAATCAAAGAAATACCCAACCATCAAATGACCAAAGCTGAAACCAACCCAGTCCTGTTCCCATGTAGATTGGTCAAGTCGAAAGGAATTTGAACCAGCTTCATTTCCATGCCGTGATCCACAAACTTATCCTCGATTCTTCTGAACTCCCCACGCAAACCACCAAGCACACCATCGGAGGCCAAGATAGGGCAGATGGCGAGGGTCATGCCTGCTGTTGTCATTCATATGGGATTGTGGGTGGGGTTGCCTAAAGAATGTCAAAGAACTCCAAAAATTGTCATTGAGCCAAAAACCAAACTTTGTTTGCAAGTTGCTGTGCTCAGCGTTCAAATTGAGCAGTGCCTTTGCCCAATCAGCAGCCTGATTGATCTCTACCATGCTCAGCCGTCCGAACTTCGTGAAGTCAAGTATGCCGATGTGGTGCATTTTGCCCAGCTCCACCGAGTCGAATTTGCTGCTGGCATCACTGATGATTCGACGTTGAAGAGCTGCCAACGATGATGCTTTGCTTGCCCCACATATCATCAAAGCCCGCTTTTCCATGAACCGGTCAACCACTTGAAGCCCGGTTTCAAGCTGATCTCGTAGGTGCAGTACCTCAAAGTTTCAAAACGGAAATGACACATTTGTGAAAACCACTATAGTATGAATATCAAAAGAAAAAACTTGCCAATAGATCACATAGATGCTTGGGCCACGTGTTTGCTTCCCTGCACCTGACATATCAAACATTCAGGGGAATTTCAATTAAAACTTGTAGTTCAATCATCCCACCTTGTTGCGCCGAAGATTGTACCCCACTGCTTCCTTGTAGTCGTGGCTCAGGTTTGAGCAAGCCAGCCGGTACTCCGCCTCTCTCAATTGCTCCTTTGAAGCAGAGTGAAATTATATTTGATCTGGGAAAAGGGGTTAAAACATATTTTGCACAAGCAGATGAAACACACATATATCATAAGATCATATATATATATAATATTACGTATTAAATACCTTTTGATTGTCCCGATTAATGCTCCTCAGCATCTTCAACTGTGGTATCAGCGGCTGACGGTCCATGACATGTCGCTGCCCCCTGAGCCAAAGCTCGCCCTACATAGTCTTGCCAAATTGCCAGTGTTTCCACTGTCAAGCGCTGAGGTTTGGAAAGCAAGATAGCTTCAAACTCTTGCACATAGTCCCTCAGATGTCTACCAAACCCAAGAACAAATAACCCCAATACTGTGATGTAAACTGAAACCCTTTAACAAAATGAAAATCAACATTTGTTTGTTGGGGTCGGGCATCCCTGCCAAAAAGCCGCTGATCATATCGGAGATCTGATCGTCAGTCACCTTTTGCTGAAAGAAAGACATGGCTCCCAGACAAGGTGTAATAACAGGACCCTCTCTCCAATCATGCTAAACATAACCAGGTCTCCTTTGGGTTCTTCCGGGTCTCGGTGATCGCCCACACACATAGACAAGCCATGTCTACATTTCTTGCCCAAACGTCCTCACTCCATCGGAGGCGACTCCTCATATTTTTTTTCATTTTTTTTGCATTCTGTGCCCACCACAGATTGTACCGCCTGAAGTGAAGGATTTGGGCATCTTCCGTCACCTTACAGGACATGTCTCACAACAGTCATCACTACATCTCACTACGGTTAAACAATTTGTGTATACATTGCCACTGGGATACACATATTACCAAAACTTGCTCACCAAACAAAATCAAGTGTCTGTGAGGCGATCAATCCATGAAGCAGGAACATTCTTTGCACCCTGGTGAAGCAAGTGTCGTTTGCTCTTCAAGATCGATTCATTGTATCCTTACATGTTAAAATCACGTGCTTCATCCTACCCCCCCAGGAAAAAAGTATGCGTTTCATTAAAAGCTGCCCTTTTCTTAAACCATTAATGCTTTTCAAACAAGTATACCCATGAATCCCAGTAGCCACTTTCATCATACTTGTTGAAGTCCAAATGCTGCTTTACAAGCAAGCGTGCAGTGGGACACATCCCCCATATGATTCCTGATATGGCAGACTGCTGGTCCGGAGAGATTTGCCACTTTTTTCAGGGCACTGTTTGCCTTGTAGTTGTTGTAGCGCTGGATGATCATTTGAAGAATCTCCTCATCCTTCATTTCCTTGCACTCCTCAAGCTGCCGCCTCTCCTTGATGAGGTCTTCGAACCGTGATGCCATCTTCATAACCTTGATGCAAAAACCCAAACACCCCCACCCCACCCCCACCCCATACACACACACGAAAAAGGTTTTGTCTTCACCTATAGAAACCAAACACTTGGTCAAGTAACGTCTTTTCGCTGACGTTCAGCTCCCTGTGTAGATAACTGGATGGCCTCAAAATTGATCGTTTCAGCATCATTTTTCCCACTGATGCTGCATGGGATGGCAAGCAAATCTCTGATGGCTGGAAGTAGTGGCAAGGCAAGATCCTGCCAAAGTTGATACAGTAAACTTTAAACATTGAGAAGCTCTTGATTTGGCAACTTCCCCAGGCCTTTCCATTGATTGGATCCAGGTCGCTCACAATCAGGGCAAGAAGCAATGGAGCACTCCTTGGACTCTCTAAAGTCATCATAGCTGTGGAATCTATTGTTTGGTTTTAAAACCATGTCAACAAGAAAACAAAATGTTGTATGTAACGTTTCAAGAAAGAATCAACCTCGTGAAACCTTTCTTGATGATGAACTTTTGCTTTCCATTTGGCCCTCTGACTACATTGACGTCGATGGGTTCACGATGCAGCCTTGATCCGCTAAAGATGTATGATATGCATACTGTGATGAAGTCCCCAATGCATGGTAGTCCTTCTGTAGGACTCTTCACCAACAAATCGTCAATGGGTATGTAGCCGATCAAGTTCTCATCGCCCAAAGAACTGCAATCCTAGCTCAGCTTAGTTCAGCTAGCAGCTAGTGAAGTTAATTGGCCTGATGCATTGGGGTGAAACAAAGAACAACACTTACACACATACCATCCTAGTAACTGGAGCAGTTGCAGCCTCTACCTTTCGACCCAGTACCTGATTCACTTCCTGCAAAAAGTGACGTAGCTTCTCACAGGTAGCAGCTGAAGCCTCTTCGTCTTTGAACTGATCCATGATGCACGACAATGGATGCTGTATCTCTGTATCATTGCCGTCTCCACCATCAGCAAATTGCCCAAGGTAGTCCAGGATGTCCTGGCAGGACGGTAAGAAGTAGTGAGAAGAAGTCATTGAAGAAAAACTAGTGGACCTAAGCACCACGACACGTGACAAAAGTATTGAATAAATCCATCCTAGACACTTTCACCATAGACACATCACCTGTCATTTTTGATAGTCCAGCTTGCCAGTCACTTTTGCGCTTCTTTGCTGATGGGTCCTAACGTTATTGTGTGTGCAGCATGACACCATGGAAGAAATATGATTTCTAGGTGTACTAGTGTACTAAAAAGAAAATTGTACATAGCTAAAATGGTTCACTGAAAGTGGCAAGGTGCGCTGGACTCTTCCTTTTTTACAACTTTACTCTCTTCCTTCTTCACTGGTGATCTTCCCGAACTTTTGGCCGCATTAACCATGGCCAGCAGCATGGGTGACTCCATTCTGAAAACAAAACACCCTTGAACTGCTTTGATGTTGTCATTTGTGTTTCTCACAAGACTAAAAACAACTATCAGCAAAAATAAAGCGGCAAACCTCATCAAGAAAGAGGAGTTGAGCGTTTTCATGGGTGGCCCGTGATCCTCAAAGAATCGTCGTGGGTGGCCCGTGATCCTTACAAAGTCGTCGTGGGTGGCCCGTGATCCTTACAAAGTCGTCGTGGGTGGCCCGTGATCCTTGCAAAGTCGTCGTGGGTGAGGGTTGGATCACACAAAGTCGTCGTGGCTCAGCTCCTCACCCACAACGAAAATTGTGACATGGCAACTACGCACAAACCATGGGACCCACAACAAAATTTCTAGTCGCTATGTGTCATCCTTTTCGTTGTAGTCCAGGTGCTGGACCACAAAGACTTTTTTGTAGAATTTATATACCCACAACAATTCTGCACTTTTCAGAAAACTTTGATTTCGTTGTGGGTATATAAACTGCTTACTAAGTCGTTGTAGTCCACCCCCCCGGACTACAACGAAATTTCTAGTCGCTATGTGTCATGGTTTTCGTTGTGGGTGCCATCCTTTAGTCGCATTTCTCAGACTTTTCCTCCATAGTTGCGTCAGCTGATGCTCCTGTGCTGCACAGCTGGTAAGGCTGGTAGGCTGCCCTCACCACTCTCGGTGTCATGACCTCAGGTGTGTGCCAACTCTCTTTGGAATCGTAGGTACTTTGGCATGTGTGTATATGGCACTTTGGCATATTACACTCTTGGGAAGACTCTTGGGTGCATAAAGGGAAGGATGCAAAGCCATTGAATGTTTTGGCCAATGCTGTCATCTAGCCATTGGGGGTGCACTCACACGATCTGCTTTGCAGAAAACCGCTCATCTATCTGCTTTGCAGATTAAGGCCCCAAGTCAGCGTCAACGGCTGGAAGTGGGTAGTGAACAAAGAATGTTGTCAAAGTTGGCCTCACCGACCACGTCTCCACACGGCACGCAGAGGTATGCTTGGACACAGCACTGCTAGCACACAAGGATGCAATTCTGCATGTTCACCAGGCATAACTGCAAGGGGAGCTTCCCCTTCAAGCCAAGGCAATGGAAACAACTCATGCTGGGGAAGCCGATTGTCCGCTAGTGCTGTCAAATAGTCAGCTGCTTGCACACAAAGATCAGTGCCACCCAGCATTCTTCGGAAGATGGCAGCCAACTCTCGCCAGCCCCCGAGCACCTTGTCTGAAACAGGTCGAGGTGGCATCTCACCTGGGGCATGTCATTCCTCTCAAAAAGTATTGTTATGATCATGTGTTCAGTTAAGAGGCTAGTTAAGGGTGAATTGTCATGCAAGACTTTGATATTATATCATAGATATTCTTACTATGTACAAATTTATATATATATATAAATATGCATAACTTATATAGTGTGATCTTTGACCACCAAAAACAAAACTAAATACTAAATTTGGTTTGTCACTGGATGTAGTGAGTGGAAAGGTCGCTCTGCTCTCAGATGTTAGAACAAGCATTGGAGGCTGTGCGAGCTGAACACTGCAAATGTATTGCTTCACCACAACAAAGATGTCATCCGGCATCTTCTCTCGGTTTCTCCGGCTGCCCTCATTGAGGTCCATTCCAATTGGAAGATCTAGCACAGGTTGCCAACACACAGAAAACAAGGCAGAACTACCCTCTTCACCCCCTCTGCCCCTGCTTTCAAACCCTGCCTGTCCGCTTGAGAAACAGGAAGAAGTGGTTTGCTGTAGCGTCAAGCAGCAGCCCACCTTCCTATCTGTGCTTGAAAACAAAAGCTTCAAAACAAATCGGGTTGTCAAACACGTGCAGAACATTCATCGCTAAAATTTGTTGAAGCTAAAGTCAAGGCTCCAAGTTCACAGGTGAGTGCTGCAACGAGTGAGCTTTCCAATTCCTGTGATTGCGTAAGGTGTGAACTTTGACACTGCCGTTAACAAAGTCCTTCAGCCCTGGTTTCAACAACTCCTCTTTGATCAGCTCACACGCCGAATCCGTGTCAATGAGCTTTGATGAGTTCCCCAAGCGTCGACTGAGCAACCCCCCACAACTGGTCTCAGTGGGAACATGCAGTCTTGAACACCATTCAAAGTCTAGATTAACAATTTGGAACCAATTTCCAAACACCAAAGACCAACTCCAAAGATCTCCAAAGTCTTTTTTTCCCTCACACATATCCAAGACACCTATGATGTCATGGGTGTGGGCCACCCGCAACATCATCAATGAGACAAACCTTAG